AAATATTTTGACCCCTAAACCTCCTAAACCCTCATAATTAAACCCTAATAGAATATAGTTAACCCAAACATAAATAATATAAAAAAAAAATAATTGTGAAAAAGTGATATTTTTGTAAAGATAGTGTGGCATTTATAAAATGGCACTTAAAAATAGAATTTTTTGAAATTTCTCAATTTTATTTTTAAATATTACAAGTAGGTTTAAGTTACAAATTTGATAAAATTAATTATTCTAGTTTCGAAAAATGTTTAAATATCCATTGACTTTTGTTTTGTAACTATTTAATAGCAATTGACTTTCTGCATGTAAAATAAAAACATAAACATTTTCTAGGAGGATCTAGGACCAAAGACTTGAGTATTCATTGTCTACTTCCTTCTTGATTTTGAAAATGAGAAAAGTCTAACTATCACCAAACATAACTTTATAGACATAACTAAGTAGTGCTAATTTCAACAACTAGTGAAAATATTGTAGACACATACTAGTTACAACATATGCCCCACCATATATAGATTACATATAATTAACGAAATATGCAATTTTAAAATTAACGTGGATAGCAGTTTGATTATGCATGGATTGTGTAACTCTGGAGTTCTTAATTTAATCTTGTCTTTAGTTAGAAAAATCTAAATTTTATCAGTAATTTCTGTAAATATATTTGATAATATTTTAAAATAAATAGATCCAGAAAAATTAGACATACCTTTTGATACTTGAAAAGCATGATGGAACGAACAGTGTAGAACTATGTGTAATCACTCGTATCTCAGACATAAAAATGTTGAATTTCAGACCGTCAAAGTTTGTCAGAGATCGACAAACTTATGATCAACACAGTGACATTTGTCTTATCAAGGTTGTGGCCTCCTTATAATCTTTTAGAAGATAAGAACTTGTGAGTTGTGACTTTTCATATTCAAGAAACATCCACATCTCCACATATCTTTTAATAAATACCAAAAGGAAAATCATAAATTTTCAAAATAGAATATATATAGCAAGTAGTGACTATATAGTTGGGGAAATTAATCATAGAACGATTCCAAATTTAATGTTTTTCAACAAGAAACATATATACGCGGTCGAATAAATATGATGCATCCTTACGCGGCCGAAGATTTTCGTCTTTCGCTTATCACTTGTACGTAGTAGTGGTACGACTTCTTCAAATTA